CGGAGGGAATCCGCCATTTCCCGATCGCGCCAACCCGGAAGTCCTGTGGATCCTGTCGCCTGAGGTGGTTGCCTCACCGTTCTTCATGGGTGGGACAGCCCTGCCTGCCCACGTCCATCAAAGCCATTTCCACCGATGTCCGTCGCCTGGAGATATTCTGTTTAAGGGATTCTCAACACAAATATTCCTACATCTTCCCAATGTTGTTGTACTACAACTCCCATCATCCATGACCATGGCTGAATTGGCTGGGGCTGATAGGAGTTGTAGTCTGACTGACCTCTGGATCAAATCACATGGGCAGCCTTTGCCGGCCTGGTGCCCTCCAGATGGTTTGGAATACAGCTCCTATGAGCCCTAGGGCACAGTTTTCCTTTTACTCTCTTTTAGTGCCAACCTTGAAGGAGGGGGAGAGGAGGGATACTTGTGCAAGAAATTAGTATTATCTATATGGTGTTTGTGTGCATTTTAAAAATATATATGGAACTGCAGATATGTTGGATAGCTTTTCTCTGAGGCAAGCCTCACACCCACCTTCCTTTGAATGGGCACGCAAATATTGATTGATTGATTCTGAGAATCTGCAGGAGCTGTGGGCCTTTTTTCTCACCTGGGGACAAATTAATGCCTTCCCCAAGCTCCAATTAAGGTGAGCTCTTCCCAGCACCTGCTAGAGCTTAAACCGCTAACCGCTGTTAGCTATGCTCTCTCCCCCCCCCCCCGCCCTTTTACTGCTTCCTACTGCAAAGTTGTGCAAACTTTCTGTCCATAGTGGGCCCTTGGCATGCTTTGGCAGGTTCTGGCAGGGTCAAGCATCACCGCCACCCTCTTTTCCCTCCTCCTCCTCCTGCACTGCTCTGTGGGCTTGCAGCCCTGCCCTGTGCAGGGTGAGGCTTTGCTGGCAGAGGGTGGCATTTTCGATGCGGTGATCCCCGCCCATCCTGTCCTCTCCTTTTCTCTCTTGGCAGGTTTCCCGCTGCCTGGCCTACGTGGAATGCGTTGTGCGGGTGGGAGAGCATTAGAATGCCAGGCTAGAAAGCCATCCATCACCCCTCCCCACCCCCTTGGGGAGGACTTCCCTCTGAAATTCCTTTTCCCACCCTGAACTGGGCAGATCCTTCCACGGTGCTTACAATAAACCACCCTGTCCTTCCCCCTCCTTCCCTTTCCTCCCTGCTTTCTTTCAAGCTGCAACGTTTTGAGACTTCACTCCCAGTACGTGTGCTGCTTTGTTATTTTAAGTTTATGTCCTTTGCAGTCACGTTTTAATTTATTGCTGGGCTCAGATGGCTCAGCGCCACCTCCTTAAATGAAGGAGTCGTCGTTAGGCTGCATGTTGTGCAACTGACCCATGGGACAAGGTCATGTGTGCAAGAGAGATTGCAAGGTTGGCTTTCTGTGCTTTTATTTATTTATTCCTCTTTATGAAAACCTGCCACACACACACCTGTCCTTGTCCTGCCTCTCCAGCTAGCCCTCAGAAATTGCCCCACACTCCCCTCTCCCTTCACCAGGTCTGTTTTGCACCTTCCTAATGAGTTTTTGCCTGGCTGGAATGTGTCCTTGAACTCTGATCATGCCTCTTGCATGCCTGGACAGAGGGGTGTGCATAGCCTGTAGCTCAAAGGTAAAATCTGTGTTCGTAATGTCTCTGGTCCCGCCACTCAGAAAGTTGCCTAGGAGGAAATGTTCTGCACCCAAGCATCACATGGGGATAGACCCACTTGGACTGTGCCACCTCAACAGGCATGTGGGATGGTGCTTATTGGAGCCCTCTGCTAACTTGCTGTGCTCCAGAGGTTTTGGACTTCAAAATCTGGGTCTGGGGCTGATGTGAGCTGGAGCTTAGGCCTGCTTCATGTTGTGAGCTTCAGGAGCATACACTGCCAGCCCTACTGGGCAGTAACAACAACCTTAACCATAGTTGTTCAGGCAATGGTGACTTCAAAATCTCCTTGTCTTGCTGGAGGGCAAGAAAAAATTGCTAGTCATCCCCAGACAGGACTGCAGTGGGGTGGCACTGGATCATCTCACCTTCCAGAATCTTTCAAGGGAGATGCTGAGCAGCCAGCTGCATACATGCTCTCTGTGTGTGTGTGTGTTCTGCCACATGCCTGGAAAATGGTCATGCTGGCTTTCGGAACCCATCCACGATCAGCAGGCCTGCACCCCCTTACGCCAAAATGAAGCCAGAGAAATGTCCTAAGGTTCATTCTTTCCTCCACCCATCCTCCTCCTGCCTCCATCCATGGCTGCATTTATTTCCCAAGCCTATCTGAAGGGGAACGGCTGCAGCTCAGTGGCAGACCATCTGTGTTGCATGCAAAAGGCCCCAGGTCCAATCTCCAGTGGCATCTCCAAGTGGCACTGGGAGTGACCCCTGTCTGAAAGCTCTAGAGAGCAGCTGCCAGTTGGTGTAGACAGTACTGAGCAAGATGGACCAATGCTCTGACTCAGCATAAGGCAGATCCCTGTGTTCCTGTTTCTGTCTGAATTATGAGGACTAGAACCTTAGTTTATGGTTAGGAGGAAGACTGTAGCTCAATGGCTGGGCATCTGTTTGCACACCCAGGTTCAGTCTCCCAACATCTCCAGGAAGGACTGGGAATGTCCCGTTCCTGGAAGCCTTGGAGAGTCATGGCCAGTCATTATAGACAGTACTGAGCTATATGGACCAATGATATGGCGAATATATGGCAGGTTCCTATTTTCCTAAGGAGATGGTGGTTCTGGATCTAGAGATGCAGGGTGGTGGTAGTGGAAGTGAAGCCTTTCCATAGGATCTCACGCATGTGTGCAGCCACAGAACCTGGCTGCAACATCTGGTGTCTCTGAATCCTACTGGGTAGGAAATAGTATTTGTAACGGGGGCAGAAGAGAGTCATGGTCACATTCTGCATAGCTCCTTGCCTTCCCTGAGGACGGACAAAATATGCTCTTGTGATGTACCAGGCATCCGGTATTCTTCTTCCACCAGTGTTGAAACAGACCCTTTTGTTGTTGTTCTTAATCCAGCATCCCTGTTGTTTCCTCCCCTCCTAGAGCCTTGCAAAGAAACCAAAGACAAGGCAGAGTTAACACTACCCTTTCTCAAAGGAGAGAGAGAGCTCTCTGCCTGCTTCCCTTTCCTCCATCCCTCTACGGTTTGTCCCTGCCAACTCCAGACTTGGTCATTAAAAGAATGCCAGCTTTTCCTTTTTTTCCTTTTACACCTCTTCTTTCCTTCTCCCATTTCAGAGCGGAGTGTGTGCCCAGGCTATAATTCTTGTTGCTGAAACCTTACTCCAGTCCTTGCCAGATCTAGCCACCTCTTGGCTTAACTCTTCTCATTCCACCCATATTTGAAAGCTGTCTACTCCGAAAGGTTTGGGTGGGGGGGGGTGGGAAGACTGTGGAGAAGTGCTCCCAACCTTCCAGCCTCCCCCTTCCCCAGCAGTGAATCACACACAGAGGAATCTTGGGCAGCTGCGATGCACCCCTTTCTCCAACCGCCTTACGGGGGTGTTGCTTGTGTTAAAAGATTTTCAGAAATCATGTGCTGACTGTGATTCATCCCGTCACATTATTTTTAGTCACTTTCTCTTCCCTATCCTCCCCCCCCCCGCCCTGTGCCAAAATGTGGCAATTTCCCTTTTGAAGACCTTCCTCCATCTTCGGCTTTCCAGACAGGATTCCTCTTTTGTGGATGTTACGTCAATTTCCAGAGCGCTGTGATTGTAACTCTGACACTGGCACAGCCCAGCCTTGCCTGTTTAACTCTTCCTTCTTTTTAACCCTTCTCCCTCTCCCTCAGCTGGTTGGGCTTGTTAGGAAATGGAGGAAGCTGCCTTCTACAGAGCTAAGCCATTGGTCCATCAAGGTTATCATTGTTTGCACTGACCAGCAGTGACTCTTTAGGGTTCCGGACAGGGCTCTCTCCCAACCTGCTTGGAGACAGCAAGGATTGAACCTGGGACTCTCTCTTCACTTGCCTATGATCTGAGCCCCACAACACTCTCCCTTCTTGTGATTCCCAGCAGCTGGATTTCAGGGGGTCCAGTTTGCTAGGCTGTGTTATTGTTTTGTTTTATGGAAGATTTGTCTATATGGCATTGGGGCAGAGGGCTCGGTTTGCTCTTTCTGTCCTGTCTAGGAGGCTGGGGGTAGCCTCTCCTACTGGATAGGATCATTTTGATTGACCCTGATTGCTGTAGGTTGCAGTTTTTCAACCTTGTTTCCCCAGATGTGTCAGACTGCAGCTACCATAATCCCTGAGCGTTGAGCTAGGGATGTTGGGAGTTGTAGTCCAACTCCATCATAGAATTGTAGTATTGGAAGGGTCCATGAGCCATCTAGTCCAACCCACTGCAACAGAGGAATCTCAACTAAAGCATCTGTGACAGAAGGCCATCCAACCTCTGCTCATATATTAGAAGGACTGGGGCAACCCAGTTAGATAGGTGGGGTACAAATTATAAAATTGTTGTTGTTTCAACAAAACCGAGGAAGGAGAGTCCACCACCTCTCATGGGAGTCTCTTCCACAGTCAAACAGCTCTTGGTGTGAGAAAGTTCTTCCTGATGTTTCGTTGGAATCTCCTTTCTTGTTACTTGAAGCTGTTGGTTCATGTACTAACCTCCAGAGCAGGAGAAAACAAGCTTGCTCCATCTTCCATGGGACAATTCCATCAATTGTTGCTCATAAGGCTTGGTTTCCAGATCCTTGATCATCTTGGTTGTCCTCCTCTTCACACATTCCAGCTTGTCAATGTCCTTAAACTGTGGTGCTCAGAACTGGACACAGTATTCTAGGTGTGGTACTATTACCGTACTTCCCTTGATCAGGCTGAGGACAATGGGACTTGTAATCAAATGGCATCTGGCAGGGGATGGTGGGAGTTGTAATCCAACAACATCTGGGAACCCATGGTTGAAGAACACTGCTCACTGCTCTAAGAGACACAGAGTTGACGTCCCCCCCCCCGCTAAAAAATAAAAGCACCTTCCCCTTTTCTCTTCCAGGTATTTCTGAGGACAACAAGGTAGAGGCTCCTGCATTCACTGATGCCGTCCGCATGTACCGCCAGTCTAAGGACCAGTATGGCACATGGGACATGCTTTGTGGCAATGAAGCACAGGTGAGTCTTTGAGGGAGCAGCCCAGGAAATTAATTCCTAGGTATGCTTGACAACCTGAGGTCATAAGAACATCGGAAGCAGCCTTATACTGAATCAGAACAGTGGTCCTTCTTGCTCAATATTGTCTACTTTGACTGGCAGATGCTCTCCAGGATTTCAGATGGGAGTCTCTCCCAGCCCCACCTGGAGATTCACTGCCAGACAGTGCAGACAGTACTGGGCTAAATGAACCAACAATCCTGCCCAGTTTAAGCCAGCTTCCTTTGTTTCTACCTCCCAGTGTGTGATCAGTGCTGTCACCTGCCTTGGCGCTGGTTTTGCCATCACTTAGGCGCCAGGCAAAGGTATTTCTTTTGTACCTACAGGAGTTTGGGTAGCACCAATGACTGGATGTTTTTAACCCAACTATGTTTTATGGATCGGTCTTATTGTATCTTTGTCACCTTGTGAATTGTTTCAGGGCTTTTCGTTGTGGGAAGCAATACAATAAATCGAACCAACCTTTCCTTACCTTTATACCCAATCCAGGTCTTGAGCAACTTAGTGATGGAGGAACTTCTTCCTGAGCTGAAGAACATGATTGGGCCCCGCCTGAAGGGCAAAATCCAAGAGAGACACAGAGTTTGGATCCAGGTGAGTGTGCGCTGAGCATGCACCAGGTCCCACTCTGTAATATGTAAACGTATGGAACTCTCTGCTGCAAGGTCCCAAGTTTGATCCCTGGCACCACCAGGTGGGGTTGAGAGACACTCCCCACTTCAAACTCTGGATAGCCACTATCTATCAGTCAGTGTAGACAATACAGAGCTAGGTCTGTATTGGTATTGGTCTGACTTTGTATAAGGCAGCTTCCTATGTCCCAGTGTTGCTCCAGGAATGTGGGAACCTCTGGCTCTTTGAATGTCGTTGAACTATAACTCCCATCATCCCTGACCATTGGCCTGGCTGGAGCATGCAGGTATTGGACCCCTGCCACATCTGGAACTCCACAGGTTCCCCAGCTCTGTCTCCCTACTTCCCTTATGAATGGAAAACAGGATTTCTCCACCAGAAATTTCTCCATGCATTTGTGGCCCTATCCATTTCCAGGCTGCATTCAGACAAAAAACCCCCCAAACAAACAAAAACCACGCTTTTAGCTGTAAGATAATTATGGCCCAGAATGTCAAAAGACCTCGGGTGGGAAGAAAATTTATATACTGTTTGAAAAACCAGGATAAATATTTCCTTGTGAGCCATTTTTAAAAATAGATTGGCAGAAAACTCCCTTTTAAACAAATATTCAGCTCCCGGTGGCTGCCTTCCAAACACTGCAGTATAATGAGGACATTCCCTCCAGCACACCGGAGCCCTGTGTGGAAGAGTAAAAAAAACCCCTCACAGGACCCCTTTCGCACGCACCTTCTCCAAATTTCTTAATACTTCCTTATTTATATGTAGGGTTGCAGGTGTGCCCTGTGATTCTGTGCCGGGAGAAGTCACAGGAATTTAAATTGGGCTCAGAATTAATCTTCCTGTACATCTCAGCATTCTTCATGTATCTATCTATATCTGTGTATATACATATACATATACATATACATATACATATACATATACATATACATATACATATACATATATATATACACACACACATATATATGTGTGTGTGTGTGTGTGTATGTGCGTACACACACACACACACACACACACACACACACTGCTTTTCTTCTAGAAAAAAAGATGCCAGTACTGTATACGCTTGAATGTCCCCAGAAAAAAGCTCTGTCTATATCTATACAGTCATACCTCGGGTTGAATATGCTTCAGGTTGAGCATTTTTGGGTTGCGCTCCGCAGCGACCTGGAAGTAATGGAGCGCGTTACTTACAGGTTTCTCAGCTCGCGCATGTGCAGACTCTCAAAATGACGTCATGCGCAAGCGTGGAAGCAGCGAATCATGACCCGTGGACGCGGGTTGCGTTTGCTTCAGGATGTGAGCGGGGCTCTGGAACGGATCCCGTTCGCATCCAGAAGTACTATCTATTCAGGTTTCTAGTCCTTATGAAAGTTTGTGTAGATGCCCTTGAAAGTGCAGCTAAAAAAATGCCACAGAGCAGCTGAGCAAGACTTGTGGGCAGTGTTTATTAACATTGAAATTTTAATTTATGGGATAGTCATAGATCACAGAATCAGAGTTGGAGGGAACTACGGGGGTCTAGTCCAACTCTCTGCAATGCAGTCTTATTGTTAATATCAGCTGGCAAAGTTTTGCCCCCCCCCTCTCCTTTTGTTATGCTCACAAATAAAAATCCTTTAATAATGAGAGTGTGATAGTTTAGGTGATATTTCAGGACCTGCCATCATGCCACTTTTTTCCCTTTCATTCTAGCGGTGGGGGAAATATGTGTTGCTTTGCAGAAGGGATGTGGGACTTGTGGCCCTCAATATCTTGCTTGACTTCAGCCCCCATCATCCCTGACCATTAGCCATGTTGGCTGGGACAGATGGGAACCGGAGTCCAAGAGCATTGGACGGGCCACAGGTTTCTGCCCCTGTTCTAGGGAAAGGAGTATAAAATCATGCAAATGGTAGAGATATGTGTGGCCTAGTCTGCTCCAATTAAGGGGCACAGAATTTAGATTCCTTGAGTGCACATTTTTTATCTCAACTTTTAACAGCTTCTCATTTTATTTTTGCTTTTCCTTAACAATAGAACAAATTAATATGATCAGTAGAATGGGGGAGGGGCAGAGAAAGATCAGCAAGGGATCACAGCAGTTTGTATCATACACTTAAAGTAAATACTATTTGTACAAATTTAAAAAGAAGTAGTAGGTGTTCGGATGGGGGAGGGAAGGAGAAAAAATGGGGGGATGGGTTCCCACAGAGCTTGATGGGCATATAAACAAGTCTAAGTACAAATCCCAGAGTGAAAATCTTTTCACTTTCTTTTTTTAAAAAAAGATATTTATTAAAGTTTTCAAAATGTTACAAAAGAAAAAAGAAAAAGAAAAAATACAAAGTAAAAACAATTCAATGTTTCCGTATCTTATCTTTCATTTGCTTGTTCCCCAGACCTCCTCACACCTCCCTTTTTTGTATTCCAGTTCAATTAGTTGGTTCAGCAAATCCTTTCCCTCTTTGTTTTTATCCTAATCTTTAATCTTAATATATTATAACTTTAGATTATCACCTGTTAACAATCCATTTTTGCACATTCCTTTATAACATTACTGCTGAAAACTACTTAACTTCAATCCAACATCATTCTAGCATTCATCAATTTTGCAGTATTTCTGTAGATAGTCTTTAAATTTCTTCCAATCTTCTTCCACCGACTTGAAAATCTTTTCACTTTCTCTCTGCTTTTGGTTTTCCCCATAGAACAGGTCGTTCTAATTTATTAATCTCCGCACCCCTGCCCATGTACACGTGTTCTGTTGCGAGCTGCAGGGCATATCTTACCCTTGCTGCAATAACCTTGATGTTTTATTATGTGTTGGAAGCCTCCCAGAGTGGCTGGGGCAGCCCAGCTAGATGGTTGGGGTAGAAGGAGGAGGAGGAGGAGGAGTTGCCTATCTCTTGATGGCTCACTAAGAAGGATGCTCTCCCATCTTATCCCCAAAAAACCCTTCCCCATCTTTTCCTAGGTCTCTGACGCTGTGTATAGGATGGTCTACGACCAGACCAAAGTCCAGTACGACGAAGCTGTGGTTAAATGCGAGGTTGAGAAGCCTGGGATGACCAGCACCATCCGCACAGATATGGATCAGATCATCCAATCAAAGGAGCACCTGGCCAGCAAGATCCGAGGTAGGGGATGGAGAGAGACCCTTTGCTTTGTGGAAAGGGCCGTGGCTCAGGGCAGAACCCCTGCTTCTCATGCATGAGGTCCGAAGTTCAATCCCCAATGGCATGTCCAGTAAGGGCTGGGTAAGACTCCAGTCTGAAACCCAGCAGGTGCCAGCCAGTGTAGGCAACACTGAATTAAATGGACCAACAGCCTGACTCAGTGTATAGCAGCATCTTATGAAGGGAAGGGATGTAGCTCAGTGGTAGAACATTGGCTTTGCACTCAGAATGTCCCGGTTCAATCCCTGGCATCTCCAGGGGGGTTGGAAGAGACCTCGTTTTGAAATCATGGAGTGCTGCTGCCAGTCAGTGTAGACAATACTGAGGTAGAGGGACCAGCTGTCTGACTTAGCATGAGACATTTTCAAACTGTTAAGATTAGTGATTCTCAAAAGCTTTTGCTCTGAGCTACACTTTAATAATATATTTTTTCTTGGGTCACACAAGAGGGTTTTGTGTGTTTTTTTGAGACATTGAAAAACACAACTAGGATTGTCCTCATTGTCGTTTGATGCTCTTGATCTCATTTTGAAAAGATACTTATCCATATTGTGCAAATAAAAATAATAATATTTTTGATACTATACTATACTATACTATACTATACTATACTATACTATACTATACTACTAATACTAATACCATACCATACCATACTAACACTATACTATACTATACTATACCATACTAATACTATACTGTACTGTACTGTACTATACAGGCAGCAACCATTTTAGGCATGTCCAGTTGTTGTATGATTGTCAACATATGGGTCCTTTTGATCCTGGAAGAGGGCAGAATGGTGGTAGAGGATGCTTATGCATGCTCCGCCAACATGCGCGGTGGCCGGGGATGGATGCCCTGCACAAAATAGTTAGACCAATTAGACCAAATAAACTTTTTATTGCACTAGCCATAGGCCATGGCATCATTCAGAAGGAGAACAAAAAACAAACAAACTAAAAACAATAACCATAAAAATCATCAGGCACCACACACACACAAAAACCATGGTCACAGCTACTAATAAATTATTTGTTGCATTAAAAAGAATAGAATAGCAGAAGATTCTTGGGTAAGATGTGCCAAATGAAATATCCGAATCCCCTTTGCATTTGCACAAAGTAGTTGCTGTACTATACTACCCTGGAATATTTAAATGCTTCTTTGGTTGCCTTGAATCTTCCCACCACACTTGCCACCCTCTCCTGCCACACCCCTGGAGAACCACAGGGGGCAGCATCTCCTTGGTTAATGGTTTTAGAGCACCTATCTGTGGGTTTTCTGCAACATCAGGGCTTGGGATAGATCAGGGGTCAGCAAACTTTTTCAGCAGGGGGCCAGTCCACTGTCCCTCAGACCTTTTGGGGGGCCGGACTATATTTTGAAAAATCAATAAAAATGAATGAATTCCTGTGCCCCACAAATAACCCAGAGATGCATTTTAAATAAAAGCACACATTCTACTCATGTAAAAACATGCTGATTCCTGGACCGTCCGCGGGCCAGATTTAGAAGGTGATTAGGCTGGATCCGGCCCCCAGGCCTTAGTTTGCCTACCCATGGGCTAAATGACCTTTTGAGGCATTTTCCAACTCTGGTTGATATCTGTATGATCGATCGTACGGCGTTTGCTAGTTGCCTGCACAGGTGTCCAGATCTGGGGTGCAGGTTTGTGGAGGCAGTTCTAACCTCCCTGACGCTTCTTCATCCAGCCACAGTCTTCTCCAAAGCAGAGATCTGTGTTCGGAACCACGTCCAGCCTTACATCCCTTCCATCCTGGAGGCACTTATGATCCCCACCAGCCAGGGCTTTGCCGAGGTGCGGGAAGTCTTCTTCAAGGAGGTGACCGACATGAATATGAACATCCTCAACGAAGGAGGAATGGAGAAGATGGGGGAGGTAAGCTAGAGTTCTTGGTGGCAAAAGAGGAAATTTGGGGTTGGGGCAAGCATTGTAGGGGAGGGTCTTCAGCATAAGGCTCCTCAGACTTCAGCAAAAGGACCTGGAAATTAGTTATTTTCTTTTTACCCTAGCTTTTAGCCCTTAATTTGAAGGGTTTCAAGTACCTGTGGCCTCTTTTAGTGGGGCAGTACGCGGGTGGCGCTGTGGGTTAAACCACAGAGCCTAGGACTTGCCGATCAGAAGGTTGGAGGTTCAAATCCCACGATGGGGTGAAGTCCCGTTTCTCTGTCCTTGCTCCTGCCAACCTAGCAGTTTGAAAGCACGTCAAAGTGCAAGTAGATAAATAGGTACCACTCCAGTGGGAAGGTAAACGGCGTTTCCTTGTGCTGCTCTGGTTCGCCAAAAGTGGCTTAGTCCTGCTGGCCACATGACCCGGAACCTGTATGCTGGCTCCCTCGGCCAATAAAGCGAGATGAGCGCCGCAACCCCAGTGTCGGTCAGGGGTCCCTTTACCTTTATCTGCAATAACTATTTGAATAGATGTGGGATTCTTCTGAAAGTTCTCATGGGTTGCATTTGTTATAATTGGTTTCATATAGTATTTGTAAGCCTCTTTGGGTTACTTTTTTGAGGAAAGCACTAATAAGTGGCCGTGGTAGTAAAAATAATACAAATCCTTCTATATACATAAAAATGTAAGGCTGTCATCATGTTGCAGTGTGGTAGGCAGGTGAGTGAGCAGCAGCGTGGGAGGCAGGTGGCCCTGGTGAACTGTTTAATGGAGGTGGGGGGAGGCACTTCAGAGAGCAGTTTGCTAAGCCACTCTCTGAAGCCCCTCACCCTCCTTTAAAAGGGGTGGGGCTTTGGGTGAGCTGGGAGAGGAGGGGAAGGGGAGTTTGGGCAAGCCGTGAGGGGATAGTCCAGGGGATGGGTGAGGCGTAACAGGAGGGGGTGGGTGGGGGAAAGTGGGTGGCAAGGGGGTTGATATTGTTGAGCAGAGTAAGCAGGGACAGAAGCCTCTAGTAGCAGTTGTAATTAGTAGTACCTCTGGTTGCGAATGGGATCCGTTCTGGAGGCCTGTTCGCAACATGAAAAGAGTGCAACCTGAAGCGCCGTATCTGCGCAGTGTGATTTAGTGCTTGTCTGCATGCGCGAAGTGCGATTTAGTGCTACTGCGCATGTGCGAGCAGCAAAACCCGGAAGTAACCCTTTCCGGTACTTCTGGGTCGCCATGGGACGCAACCTGAAAACAAACTTAACATGAGGTATGATGTAATAGTAGTAGTAGTAGTATTAATATCTTTTCCTCTCTCCGCTCCTCCAGTACATGGAAAACCTTTCCCAGCTGGCTTTCCACCCAGTCAAGATGCAGTCCTGCTATGAGAAGATGGACCAGTTGAAGCTGGAAGGGCTGCAGCAGAGGTTTGATGTGTCCAGCGCCTCTGTGTTTAAGCAGCGGGCCCAGATCCTGATGAGACAGGTAGGGACTGCCTTGGGATGGAGGAGCCCCAGAAATAATACCAGTTCTTCTAGCTGTCTCTCTTGGGACTATGCTAACCATTCTGGGCTTCTGTAGGCCTGGAATTATGTTGGCTTCCTCACATTCCTTTCCTTTGCACCTTTCGTTCACAATTGGCTCATCAGGGGTCTCCTTCCCCCATACCAGTTCTACTGAAAAGACACTTTACTTTGGATGCCAGGGAATGCCTGGGGTACAGGAACAGAATGACAGCTGCTTCCCTCCTCCTTGCCCTCCACTACAGATATAGAAAATGCTTTTCTGCATTTCTTCCAATTCTTTGTTGTAAAATCACCATTTGGGTTACTTTGCTGTTGAAGAAATTTTCAACCTAGCGCAAACCGCAAGTTCTGTTTGAGCAGGGAATTGCCACCACTGCCCTCTAGTGGCCAGGATGATTTGTACATGTTTTACAAGCCATACATTCTCTTTTAAGTTTTTTTGTTTATGCGCAGTTTGGGTTCTCTTTCTACCATGTAATAATTCAAATCAAAAACAACAATGACATCCAAATGAACTTAGGCATGCTGTAAAATTACACAATCGAAAAGTTTAAGAGCATAATTGTGACACTTATTTTAATTTCAGAAGGTAATTTTTTAAATTTTTTTTTTTTTTGCGGCTAAGCTATCAAATCCCAACACCTGTAGAATGTCATAGTGCTTCTCCATCAAGTGTTAATGGCACTTCAGCAAAGAGGACTGTAGAGGCAGAGCCCCAAGCAAATCAGGGTTTAAAACTCTTATTCCAAAGTAAGTGGTCTTCTAAGCAACATGATTCAGTGTTTTATATCTTTTGTTTTTGGGTGTTGCAGCAAATGGACGATACCGTGTACACCTTTGAGACGCTCCTTCATCAGGAGGTGGGGAAATCGCCAGACAAAGATGAGCTCTGCAAAACCATTCAGCGCATCCTGGAGCGGGTGCTTAAGGTGAGCCTGCTTGCCACGCTTTGGGTCCATTTGCAATGGATCAGACCTGCCAGGCTGGCTTCTGGAAGAAGCAAATAGAATCATAGAAATGTAGCTGGAAGGGACCTCAAGGGGCCATCTAGTCCAACCCCCTGCAATGCAGGAATCTTTTGCCCAGCATGTGACTTGAACCCACAACCCTGAAATTTAAGAGTTTCATTGTCTGCTGACTGAGCTGCCCTGGTTGAGAACTGTTGGTAGCCTATCAAGCCACGTGGCATTAAGTCAGGAATGGGAGAAATGTTTTCTTTCCTTTTTACATTCTTATTTTGTTCATTAAATTTTTATGACATTTAACAACATCGTACACATAAGTAATAAAATATCACCCAAGAAGATGGTGTTCAGGGAATGCATGCAGAATAGCATCCAAATAGCATAATAAGTTCCTATCCCCGTCAACCATTTGTACATAAGGAGATAAACAGTGTATTTGTAATTTCATTACATTTTATTTATCACTTATTTATCCCACCTTTCATCCAAGAGTTCAAGGTGGCATACATAGTTCTCCTCCCCATTTTATCCCCACAACAACTCTGTGAGGTAGGCAGAGAGTGAGTGACTTGGCCCAAGGTCACCCACTGAGCTTCATGGCTGTGTAGGGATTTACCGTATTTTTCGCCCCATAGGGCGCACCGGCCCATAGGGCGCACCTAGTTTTTTTGGGGGGGAAATAAAGAAAAAAAATTATTTCCCCCCAAGGCGCGGTGCTGGGGTGGGGGAAGCCCGAGCTTCCCCCGACCCCAGCCCCCAGAACAGGCTGCTCTGCGCAAGGCGTGGGAGGGCTCCCGCGGTTTGCGCAGAGCTACCCGAAGCCCGGGCGCAACTGCTCAGCGCGCCCGGGCTTCGGGGTGCAGGCAGCTCTCCACAAGCCGTGGCAGCCCGGTGGGAACTCCCGCGGGCTCCCAAGGCTTGCGGATAGCTGCCTGGAGAGCGAGAGGGGTTGGTGCGCACCGACCCCTCTCGCTTTCCAGGCTTCAGCAAAAGCCTGCATTCGCCCCATAGGACGCACACACATTTCCCCTTCATTTTTGGAGGGGAAAAAGTGCGTCCTATAGGGCGAAAAATACGGTAAACCCTGGTCCTCTATGTCCTAGTCTGACACTCTAACCATCTCGTCTCATTGGAGACATTTTCTAAAGTTATAAAATACCTCCATTTTCATTTTTAGCCATGTGCATAACAAATCTGTGCCAGCGAAAGATTCTCTGTGCTTCGTGCCTCGTGCCAATTTTATTTTATTATTCAATTTCCCCACAAGTTCTATTTGCCATACTTCATTGTACCGATTTGTCAGAGAAACACCTTCTTAAGTATCTCGCTATTACAAGCCTGACCACTAGCAGAGAACTTGATAGACATTCCAGCTGTAAGTGAATATTACTTGTCATGAAAAGATTGGGAAGATTGGAAATTTAGAGGCATTTTGTTCAGTAATGGCTTTTATTTTGGACAAATACTTCCTCCCAGAACCAAGCCAATTTGCCACACGTCCACTGCATTGTGCCATTCCACAGCCTCTCCAACAGTTTAGTGAGTAGGAGGTTCTAATATGAACTAACCGTATAGGCGTCAGATGCCATTTTTGCACTATTTCAAGTGCTGCCTCTTTTGTCAAGACAGATTTAAAAGGAAATCTGGCCGTTGCCTTCCCACACCTGCCTGAAACCATCTGCTGTACCCATTTGGTTACATGTTGTGGAAATGTTTTCACCCCAAGGAAGGCATTCCTTCTGGGCAACTTTGTAGGAGGCCATAGCCAGCGGAGGGCAGAGCCAGAGGGGAAAAGTGGACAGGGCAATGGATGCAAACTTTCACTTTGCACAGCAGGCTGATTTCTACATTCACCCCTCTCCTCCTGCCACCCAGACAAGCAAGAGGCATGATAAGAGTTTGATGACACATTGCAGCCAGGCAGGAACCCTCAAGGAAGGGGGGCAAGCAGCGGCAGTAAAGGGGTTGGTGTGGGAGAGGGGGGTGGTGAGGAGTTGTAGCTCCCCCAAGCCCAGATAGTAAGGCTTGGTGGGTTGCATTTGTTAGGCAGACCACTCTTCTCTGACATGGTTTAAGTCGCTTCCCTCTGTCTCATCTCCTGGTCAGTGGTGTGACTCTCTGCCCCTTCTTTTCTCTCCTCCCTGCAGAAATATGACTATGACAGCAGCACGGTAAGGAAGAAGTTCTTCCGGGAGGCCCTGCTACAGATCACCATCCCCTTCCTGCTGAAGAAGCTGGCCCCCACTTGCAAAGGGGTAAGCACAAGCCCCCAACAGGAAGAGGGGTGCGCACAAATGCAAGGGCAAGCAAAGCCTCCCTTTCAGAAGGAGTGTGCTAGCATCATGGCCAGGAGGAAGAACGTCTGGCACGAGGGCCTCAATCGGCCTACCATACGATATGTTGCGATAGTTTTTATTGTCATTGTCCCATACAGAACAACGAAATTGAAAAAATCTACATCAGACATTCAAAAACCAACAAGAATGCTATCCCAGCTATCCAGCCTGGTTAGCCCCCTAAAAATTCTGATACCCCATAATTAGATACAATATACTTCCATAGAGACCACCTTACACTGTGTTTAAAACCAAAATCACATTTGGATAGGTAAAGTTAAAGGGACCCCTGACCGTTAGGTCCAGTCGTGGCCGACTCTGGGGTTGCGGCACTCATCTCGCTTTATTGGCCGAGGGAGCCGGTGTACAGCTTCCGGGTCATGTGGCCAGCACGACTAAGCTGCTTCTGGCGAACCAGAGCAGCACACGGAAACACCATTTACCTTCCCACCAGAGTGGACCCTATTTATCTTCTTCCACTTTGACGTGCTTTCGAACTGCTAGGTTGGCAGGAGCAGGGACCGAGCAACAGGAGCTCACCCCGTCATGGGGATTCGAACCGCGACCTTCGATCGGCAAGTCCTAGGCTCTGTGGTTTAACCCACAGCGCCACCCGTGTTCCATTTGGATATGTCTCCTCAATTGACCCACGAGATAATTTGGGCCAAGCCATGCTGTCCTGTTCTGCACTTGACATCCTAGATGATGCCAGGGTGTGGCAGACAATGATCTTGCTTAGCTTAAAGGGCAGTTTGCCATCATAGCTGATCAGAGCGTCTGCAAAGCTCTCCACAATACCTGACAATCTACTGATATCCAACTCTTACCAGTAAAAAAAAGTAAGGGCAAAGAAATAAGCATGTATTCAAAACATTTGATTTTTTTTTTTATAAATTTTTATTGATTTTCCAAACACATAATAAAAACAAACCATACACAAAACAAAAACATATAAACATGTATAATTTCATAGTCTTATTTTCATACACCTTACTTCCCGGACTTCCCCATACCTCCCCTTTTCTGCATCCTTGTTTTACATTTCTTCAGCAACTCCTTCAGTTAATTAATTGTTTCCAATCACTTTCATTAGATTCTTTTTTCTTTAACTTATTAATTTCAGCTGCAATTCTCTATTTCTTAATTCCTTAACATCTTAACACTCCTCAATTTTACAACAATTTTTAAGATATATTTTAAATTTCTTCCAGTCTTCTTCCACTGTCTCTTTCCCCTGGTCACGGATTCTGCCGGTCATCTCTGCCAGTCCCATATAGTCAATCACCTTCGTCTGCCATTCTTCCAGAGTGGGTAGTTCTTGTGTCTTCCAATACTTTGCCAGAAGAATTCTTGCTGCTGTAGTAGCATACATAAAAAACGTCCTATCCTTCTTTGGCACCAATTGGCCGACCATGCCCAAGAGAAAAGCCTCAGGTTTTTTAGAGAAAGTCCACTTAAGGACTTTCTTAATTTCATTATAGATCATTTCCCAAAAGGCTTTGATCTTCGGGCAGGTCCACCAAAGGTGATAAAAAGTACCTTCAGTCTCATTACATTTCCAACATTTATTATTGGGCGAATGATAAATTTTTGCAAGCTTGACTGGGGTCATGTACCACCTGTAAATCATTTTCATTATGTTTTCTCTTAAGGCATTACATGCCGTAAACTTAACACCGGTGGTCCATAACTGTTCCCAGTCAGCAAACATAATGTCATGGCCAATATCTTGTGCCCATTTAATCATAGCTGATTTCACCGTTTCATCCTGTGTATTCCATTTCAACAGCAAATTATACATTCTAGACATATTCTTAGTATTGGGTTCTAACAGTTCTGTTTCTAATTTTGACCTCTCCATCTGGAAGCCTATTTTCCTGTCCTGTTTAAATATCTCATTTATCTGAAGATAATGCAACCAGTCTCGTACCTTGGACTTTAATTTCTCATAACTCTGTAATTTAATTTTTTCACCGTCTTGCTCTATAATTTCACAATATTTTGGCCATTTAGACTCCATATTAAGTTTTTTCACCTCTTCAGCTTCCATTGGTGACAACCACCTGGGAGTTTTACTTTCCAATAAGTCTTTGTACCTCATCCACACATTATATAATGCTTTCCTGACAATATGGTTTTTGAAACCTTTGTGCACTTTAACTTTATCATACCATATGTATGCATGCCAGCCAAATCTATTATCAAACCCTTCCAGATCCAAAATGTCTGTATTCTCAAGAAGCAGCCAGTGTTTCAGCCAGCAAAAGGCCGCCGATTCATAATAGAGTCTTAAGTCCGGCAGGGCAAACCCCCCTCTATCTTTTGCGTCAGTTAAAATCTTAAATTTTATTCTGGGCTTTTTGCCCTGCCAGACAAATTTAGATATGTCTTTCTGCCACTTCTTGAAACAGTCCATTTTATCCAAGATCTGCAATGTCTGGAATAAAAACAACATTCTAGGCAATACATTCATCTTGATAACAGCAATTCGGCCTAACAATGAGAGTCTCAACCTTGACCATATTTCTAGATCTTTCTTTACAAAACATTTGAAAAGAATAAAATCAGCAATAATCTACAACCATATTAAAATACATGGCAGCTTCCACATGCCATGAATAAGTTTGCCCAAAGGAAAGTATTTTCCGCAGGCTCCGAGAAGACTACAGTGAAGGAGCCTGCCAGATGTTAAAAGGCAGGGAGTTCCAAATTGCAGGTGCTGCTGCACTAAAGATCAATTTCTTACAAGTGCAGAATATTAACGTCGCACAGACCACAGACTGAAGCAGAGTGGGTGCTTATGGGATAATGCGATCCTGCAAGAAAGTGCTAATGGAACAGCCTCCACCAGGCAGCAACTCTCACCATCCCTAACTGGGGCTGGTGGGACTGGAGTTCAACAACATCTGGAGGAGCCACTGGTTTCCTTTTGCTGGTTGTTGTGTAAATGTTGTGTTGTGCATAATTTTTTTAAAATGACAACAGTAAACCAACTCTTGTCTATAAGGTTCTTCTGGTTGCACTTTGCTTGGGCAATTTTGTCCAGCAGAAAAACATTTGTAATTTTTTTAAGCAAATACACTACAGCAAGCAAGAAAGAAAGACAGAAAGAATGAAATAATGATAATTAATTAAAATTATGTTTAAGGGCTGCTATTATTAGAGTCTCTTTCCCAGTCAATTCTATTTTTCACTTCATTTTGTTGAGTGTGGGTCTTCCTTCCCCCCCCCTCTCTCCTTTCTTATTTTTCCCTTTTTCTGTTGTTCATTCCAAATACTTTTCTTTCTTTCTCCCATGGCAGGACCTCTCAAGATTCCAGGAACTGATTTTTGAGGATTTTGCCCGTTTCATCCTGGTGGAGAACACCTACGAAGAGGTGGTACTGCAATCTGTCATGAAAGACATCATGATGGGTAAGGAGGAGCGAATGCCCTCCTCATGGGGGTGTTACTATTCTATTGAAGTGGTCGCTGACTGTTTTTGAACCAGTGGGCACATTTGGAGTTGTGAGAGGGCACCATGGGTGCCAGTCACAGAATAGCCACCATGGGGAGGGTGTGGCTTCACACCAAATGATGCAGGTGCTCTCCCATGACCCCCCACATCACTGGGGAGAAAGATGCCTACCCCAGTGTGCTACACTGTTCCTAAAGTAGTTTAACAGTATATTGTTCTTCCCAGGGAACCCTGGCAACTGTAGATCTATGAGGGGAATAAAAGGTAATGGGACCCCTGTCCATTAGGTCCAGTTGCAGACGACTCTGGGGTTGCGGCGCTCATCTTGCTTTATTGGCTGAGGGAGCCGGCGTACAGCTTCCGGGTCATGTGGCTAGCATGACAAGGCCGCTTTTGGCAAACCAGAGCAGCACACAGAAATGCCGTTTACCTTCCTGCCGGAGTGGTACCTATTTATCTACTTGCACTTTGTGCTTTCAAACTGCTAGGGGGCCTCTTAACAACACTCAGCACCTTCAACAAACTACAGTTCTCATAATTCTTTGGGGGGGGGAGATATGACTGCTTAAAGTGGTATCATCGCACTTTAAATGCCTGGTGTGGATGTGGCCTTATGCATTGTCCCATTAGTGGTCCTGTTCATGCTCCTTTCCTTTCCACATTTCAGCTGTGAAGGAGGCAGCTGTGCAGCGGAAGCACAACCTGTACCGCGACAGCATCGTGATGCACAACAGCGACCCCAACCTGCACTTGCTTGGCGAGGAGACGCCCATCAATTGGGAGGAGGAGTTCGGCAGGCAGTCGGACTCAGACCCGCCAGATGAGAAGCAGCGCCGGGCCAAGCAAGTCGTTTCTGTCATCCACGTTGACGAAGAGGCCCTTCCCTACGAGGTCACTTCCCTGGAGGGGTCCCCAGGTGCAGCTGAGCTGGAGCCCGAGCGGGTTGACCGCAGTCCTTCCCCTCCTGTGCAGGGGTCCCCTGACAGCGTGAAGGACCTTCGTACGATGCTGGTGAAGGAGATCTGCGTCAAGGCTCCGCTAGAGAAGGCTGATTCCCAGCTGGGCAATGGCACCATTGCCCAGAAGAGCGAAGTAGACCCCAAACACATGGAGGGGAAGGAGGAGGAGGAAGCCACCAAGGAGGCAGGCAAGCAAACGCCACAACATCCCGCTGAGTGCCAGGCGGAGGCGCAGGAGGCTACGGACTCCATGCCCACTTCTCCTGCCCAGTCGCCTTCCCTGGCTGCCGACGGGGGGTCCTGCGTGGGCTGCCTTGAGCCTAGCGATAAGGAGACAGGGGAGGAGACGGGGGTGCAAGTGGAGGTGACCCCAGTTTGTGAGACGAGCATGGAATCCTTTGTGGAGAACAGCCATGGGGCTACAGAAGGCAGCGAAGGGGTGCAGACTCAGTTCTAGGACAGCTGCCCCACCTCTTATGCAAGAGGGTTCCTCTATTGGCTGTGTCAATGCCAAAGGCAGACTCGAATTGGGGGACCCTGTGGGGGGTGCTGTGGGGGGGGGAGAAGGCAGGCAGGGCGAGGGGAGAGCAAAGTGCCTAAAGTTGGTTCTTTGGCCTCCTTAATTTGCATGTGCTCAATCCATCCAGAGAAGTATTGGGAGGGAGCACAGGGGATGGGATGGAGGAGCCCCAGAAATAATACCAGTTCTTCTAGCTGTCTCTCTTGGGACCATGCTGACCGTTTTGGGCTTCTGTAGGCCTGGAATTATGTTGGCTTCCTCACTTTCATTTCCTTTGCACCTTTCGTTCACAATTGGCTCATCAGGGGTCTCCTTCCCCCATTCCAGTTCTACTGAAAAGACACTTTACTTTGGATGCCAGGGAATGTCTGGGGTACAGGAACAGAATGACAGCTGCTTCCCTCCTCCTCGCCCTCCACTACAGATATAGAAAATGCTTTTCTGCATTTCTTCCAATCCACCTTCATTTTCTTGGAACTTGGTTGTGTTTTAATCCAGTCTTGTTGCCCCACTGATAATTATATATATTTTTAAGGGTAGTCATCTTCTTTTAACTGTTTCACAAGTAAGAAAATCTCATCACCTGTGCGTCTTCACCTCTCTTCCCCAGCGTTGACAGCCATGTCTTAGTGTAGTTCTGCAACTCCCACCACTTGGAGAGATTTGAGGATCTGGGTAGGAATATTAGCTGCAGGACCTAGTAGGTAGAGCCAGCGAGTCCCTTTTCGCTAGAGAATGACGATGCAAATGAAGGTTAGAGAAACCGGATGTGGCAGTTGTTAAGGCCGAACGAGGGAAGTGTGTAGCAGAAAGCAGTGAACGTATGTGGATGAGGGCAAAGCTGCGGAATAAGTTTTCTTCCCTGCCCAGGGAGGGGTCAAGTAACATACATCTTGTAGGTTTACCACCAATGCAAGAAACTGGGTAGATATGTTAATGGTGGTGGCTTGTATCCAATACTCATCTTACTCAGAGTAGGCCTCTCTCTGTGCCCAATTTATAGGCAAGGAAAATTATAAGAGAACTTGCCCGCTTTGTTTTAGAATGTTCTCTTCATTGGTGATTCTGGGTGGATGGGGAATGCAAACTGAATGCCATAGCAAGGGTTGTCCCATTGAAAGTGTGCATGTGTGCACATATTGGATTTACAAAAATATCCACTTTTCTTTTTACCCCTGGTAGGTAAAAGGAATATGGTTATTGCCTCCTGGAGCTTCTATGGATTGTGCCAAAACTTAGTCCTTTCTTGGAGGCAGACCCACTGAAATTAATAGACGTGAGTCTCTCTCAGAGAAAAAGGTGGGGATTTAAAGCCTGGTACAGGTGAAACTGAGAGGAGATATGATAGCCATCATCAAATACCTAAAGGGCTGCCACATGGAGGCTGGAGCAAGCTTTTCTCCAGCTCCAGAGGACCCAAACCTACATCAGGAAGAACTTTCTGATGGAAAGAGCTGTTTGACAGTGGGGGTGTCTCCTTACAGAAATGGTGGGCTCTCCTTCCTTGGAGGTTTTTAAGCAGAGGCTGGGTGGCCATCTGTCCTGGATGCTTTAGCTGAGATTCCTGCATTGCACGGGGTTGGACTAGATGACCCTTGGGGTCACTTCCAACTCTATAGTTCTACGATTCTGTGAAATAAATGTATAATATTAATAATATGGTGAACTTAGGCACATTTCAGTGAGTCTGCTCTGAGTAGGGTAGCTTTGGATGCACCGCTGGGTTTTCCTGTTACCTGAGGGTTTGCACACTCATTTCTCAGCATATCTGACTCTATGAGGCAAATCAAATTTGAGGAGCTTGTCATCCCAGAAAGTGTAGGGTGGTCAATCCTTAGCCATGGAACAGCACCACCTCAGGAGGACTGTTCTAGATAATATCCAGAAGTTGTATATTTGAGAGTGGTTTATTACAAGTTTTCCCCCATCAGTCCACTCTTGTTTCCCTCTTGCTCTGTGCCCCCAAATAACTGTTTATCTTTAAGGCTATTTTTTTTGGAACGTTGATGTGTATAGTTGCCTTCATAGGAAGGAGCGGACCTCTGGAAGCCGAAATGGACACAATGCTTCTCAGTCTTGGACCACTGGATATTGCTGGACTACAGCTGCCATCATCCCTGAATGTTGGCTAAGATGGCTGGAGATGATGGGAGTTGTAGTCCAACACCATCTGGGTAATCCAAAGTTGACTAACACTGAATGCGCCTCTTGTACAGGAATGCGGAACCTGCGGCCCTCCAGGTGTTGGCGGCCCTGCCACCATTCCTAGTCACTGGCTACACTGATTGATGGGAACAACACCTGGAGGCCTTCCGGTTCCGTATCCCCGTCACGTTTCCTCTTCCCCAGTGGCCAAGTTGTTGCTTTCACCTATCAAAAATGCTTTTATAGGTGCAGGAGGGCAGGGAAGCAAATGGACATGGGTACATTTGTATGTGTTTTAGTTAAGGTGGTGACAGAATGACGTTTTAGAATGAAAACAGTGGAGGCCAATGGGGCATCTGGCTTCCACTAAAGTTAGAGGGAGTGGGTAGGGAGCAAGCCCACCAAAGGCTCTAGCGACTTAGAAATGGAGTGTCTTAATGTCAATGCAGAACTATTGTAAACTTTTCCAAAGGGCAATGGGAAGACTGAATGGCCATGATGGGAAGACTGAATGACCATGATCCAAGCCTTGCATGTAAATGCACATTGCACACACACACGCACACACACATATTCCTGCAGTTGTGGCACCATGCCAGTTTCAAAGTGCTTGTTCATTATTCCCTTAATGTCTCTTTAAGAATTTTTTATTTTTTATTTTTGGAGGAGGGGATGGAGACCTATTTAGCCATTCATTTTCACTTTCTCTCTCTGCTCTTCGTAAAACAAAAAGTGCCTTAATCTTGGGAACTAAAGCCTGCCATCTTTTTACCTTTTTTCTTCCAGTATACTTTATTGCAAAACTTATACCAAATGCTTAAGAGGGGGGAAATGTGGCTTATATATTATTAATAAAATCTAGATTTATTTAAGATCAGTACAGCCTGCCTCCTCCTTCCCATTGTTTGGGCTCTTGACAAAAAGACGTTTGGAAATTTTGTGTGCTTAAAAGAGAGGACACAACCTCTTGTCAGATAGGCCTCCAATTGATTTTACTGTGGCTGCATTCACACTGCATTTTATTCCCATTTCCCTGACATTTCTCAAGCTGTTCGTTCCCCCCATTGCTTTTGAGCTTTCACACAACACAAAGTTACTTTCAGAAAAGCAATGGGACATAGCACGAAAGATCCATTTGCAGAAAATCATGGGAGAAAAGTAACAAAATTTGGGGTGGTATTCTGGCATACGGTTCTTTCCTACTGTTTTCATAGTGGGGATTCATGGGGGAACAGAGGGTGGGGAAGTAGCAACATTTGTTGTTGGCGGACCAACTCTGTTACAAAGATGTCTGCAAATGTGAGAGGAAGTCTGGCAACATCAGCCCTGCTGTGTGGGAATCCCTTGCAGAGGACAGCAGTGTCTGGAGACAGTCAGGTTGTGCATCCACAGCAGTGACCAGAGGAGGAATGACCGCTGGGAGAAGCACCGAGAGAAGAAATGTCATGGCAGCACAACCGGACACCTTCACCTGCACCACCTGCAACAAAACTTGTCTCACCTACATTGGTCTCTACAGCCACAGCAGGCGCTGCAACTGTCCAACAGCTTGACTTCACCTCCAAAGGCCACTCCTCCATTGTCTCCTAAGACAGACGGATGCCAATACCACCACCCTCACTGGTGGGAATGAAATTTAGCACATGGTGCTGGTGTTTTGGCAAAAAAAAAACCCCACTGTTCCATAATGCAACGGGTACTGCAGTGTGAAAAGATCATTAGAAAATGGATGGATGTGTTGGCATTACAATCAAGAAAACTAATGCAATAACCCCTCACATCTAAATGCACTTTTGGCCCTCCTGCATTCTTCCTCACTTGAGTCTGGTTCAAAGGATGGGGGGGGGGAATCTATGGACCACCATATGTTGTTGAACTCCCATAATCTCTGTTTATCTATCTATCCACTGCTATTCATAAAATCCAGGTGGTTTACAACAATCATCCCTGTCCATTGGCTTTGCTGCCTGGGCCTTAGGAGTCCCAACAGTAGCTGTCTGGGATACAGGATCCTCCTCCCCTGTAAGACTCTCACAGACAGCCAAACTCTACTACTGATAACTCCAGCCTCTTTTATTCTCCCCCAGCCAAAACTCTTTTTGTCCTGATCTACAATTTAAGCATTTTTAATCCTCCCTTAGGATGGGCTCTCTAGCCAACCATGAAACAGCCAACCTGTTTGCTTTGCATTCATCCTGCTCTGTGTGCTAGGTGGTGTGCCATCACCACCCGTCTGTTGAGCATCCATTCTGTTTGGTTTGTGGAGAGGCTAGCATACAGCAAATGTGATTACCTTGCTTTACGATGCCTTTCCCATTCTTTCATTAGCTCAGAAAGTTCATTTTTGGTTGGGCTGGGGCGGGGCTGGGAAGACAAGTGGGCATGCTGTACAAGAGCATCAGATCACCTTCGATGGCTCGCCCTGAATTTGCCAGCTTGTGATTGAATCCCAGCCAAAAGTAGCAACAGTCTGGAATGATCCACAGAGGTATGTGCTGAACGTGCTTAAGCAGTTTTGGGGGAAGAAAGTGTAGTTTTCACATGCAGGAACAACCTGAGACACCCTTCACCTAATTTGAAGACCATAAAGAAACTTCTGAAATCTGATGTGTTAAGTAAAATATTTTATTTGTCATTGATTTTTGCATCAGATTTCATAGCACATTCATTTTTAATTTAGCCATACAAACATTTTTCCTTGGTTCAGCATCTGGAGCAATAATGGCGCCCTCTAGTTGTGCTGGACAACAGCGCCCATAATCTCTGATCACTGATCATGTTGACGGGGCGCCAATGGGAACTGCAGACCAACAATATCCAGAAGGCACCACATAGGCTATCCTTGCTAAACACCCTGTGTACATTATCCTCCCAACACAGTATTCCAGGTGTGGTCTGACCAAAGCAGAATAAAGTGGTACTGTTACCATGGCCTGACTATGTATGAGGCAGCTCTCTGTCCCCCACGCATTGACCAGACCCAGTCCTGCAAGGCATTAGTGAGGCTAACATTTGATTCCCCCACTCTTTACAGCCTCACCCATGTGGTGGTGAGTCCCTTATGTTAATTATGCAGAGTCTTCCCTTTTGTGCCCTGAATCCAATATCCCCACCCCCAGAAAAATAAAAGAATGTAAGAGCTCTATTGGTCAAAACCAAAGGCTTTACATATAGTCTGGCAGCCTGTTCTCACAGTGGACAAAAGAAGAGCATCTGGGTCAGACCAGTGGCCCAAATATTCTGGCATCCTGTTCTGAGAGTGGCCAACCAGACACTTCCATTGGAAGCCCTTAAGCAGAACCCAAACACCAGAGTCCTTTCCCCTCCTGTGGGTTCCAGCAACTGGGATTCAGAAGCATACTGCCTGTGACTGTGGCAGTGGGCAACCAGTTGCCTATGGGAATCCTGTAAGCAGGATATGCGCTGAATGGCTCTTTTCCCATTCATGATCCTCAGCAACTGGGATTCAGAGGCGTGTTGGAGAGGTAGGACCTAGTCATCACAACTGGCAGCCACCTGTAACATTATCCTCTGTGAAATTTGTCCAGCTGCCCAAGTTGATGGCTATAGCAGCAATGCATCCCATAGCTTATTTACTTATGTGCTGTATGAAGAAGCACTTCCCTCCTGAATGCTAGAGCCTCCCACCATTCTGAGTTATTGGATGGCCCCAGTTCTAGGTTTATGAGAAGGGGGGGGGGACACTCCTCCTAATCCCCTTTCTTCCCATTATGTATAATTTTATATATCTCCACCATTGCCCTCCTACGCTAAAAAGCCCGCAAGAGAATGCAACCGAATAGCACAGCATGTGCTTTGAATGAAGTTGGCATGGGTTCCACGCCCTCAGAGGACAGAGCGTAGCGGGGTTGGTAAAGTTGCCCCCGCACCTCACTTTCAAGAGTTGTTGCCAGTCAGAGTAGACAGTGCAAGGCTTAGCTGACTACAGTGGTACCTCGGGTTAAGAAATTAATTCGTTCCAGAGGTCTGTTCTTAATATGAAACTGTTCTTAACCTGAGGTACCAGCTAATGGGGCCTCCTGCTGCCGCCGCGCCACCAGAGCACAATTTCTGTTCTCATCCTGAAGCAAAGTTCTTAACCCAAGATACTATTTCTGGGTTAGCGGAGTCTGTAACCTGAAGCGTCTGTAACCTGAAGCGTCTGTAACCCGAGGTACCACTGTTACACATCCTGAGGGTAGAAAGCGAAACATCTCTGTTCTAGCTACTGAGCATTTGTTCCAAGGCACTTAGTAAAGGCAGTTACAAATAAATTCCAGTGAAAGGACAAAAAGTCATTCTCAAAAAGGTAGAAGGTTCAAATGCCCTGCCTGTGGAAGTTAGAGGATGGGGAGCAGGGGAAAGGATCTTGGAACTACAACAGGGTGACTCCTGTTTACCCAGTTCAGTATTCCAAGCACCACAGATCTGTTCCCAAGGCAGGAGTCTCCAGTTAATCAGCACTGTTAAACCATCTTCCTGCGCTGATGCCAGTGCTGCTATCTGGGACTGATCAGTGGGTATGCTATGTAGTAGCCAATGGCAGAGCCCGCAATCACTCCCAGGAAGATCCACGTGTTGTAAGACATCACCGCCAGCATCACCAGGTAACCGAGGACCACTTGGACCACATGGAGCAGGGTCTGGACGACATGCCATGAAAACCAACTTTTCCAAAAGGAAAGAGAAACAAATGTCAGGGCTTATCTACACTTAACTTCCCTCCATGCTTTCCAGGCACAGTCTGCACTTTAAAGCTCTGTGTCTGAACGCACTTTCCCTGCCCCTCCCCTCCAGAGCTTTTCCCATGAAAACCCGCCCTTTAAAGCGGAATCAGAGCAAACGTCAATACAGGTTTTCTGCAGATTGCTGTTTGCTTCCCCACCCCACCCCATTTTTTTTACTTCTTCGGGGAGCTGCTTAGCTGTTCCAGGCCTGTGTTAATAGATGCCCTTTCTGGCTCTCTCAAGGTCTCCTGGCTGATGCTGGAGGCAATGGATGGCGGCATTGTGTACTGAAGCACTTTCGCCTTGCCAGCTTTTATGAATTCGTACAACACCGCAAGCAGCATGATCACCAGTACTGAGAACACCATCCCTGTTGGGTAAAAAAACAGATTTATGGTTGGAGCTGGGATGGGTGGGTGTAGAAATATATTTGTACACAACCATTCCCAAACCTCTGTGTAACTACAGACTGCATAATTCAACTGCAGGATTCCATTTCCTGCAAACCTTATCTTTGGGGGGCGTTTTGGGGTTTTTTAAGAGTGCAAGTTTCTAGCCCATGTGTGTGTTAAGATAAGCTTACTTCTGGGAGGGGAAAATCAAGGAGTATTCATTTAAATGCACTTTTAGCACTCTGTGGCACAGCTGAAATATTAAAATGCAATAAAGATAATGGTGTACTGATAATACGCTGATAATACAACTATTAAGAGGCAAGCACGGTAATGATATCCAAAACGGTTACATCAGCACCTGCGCATATCAAAAGATCATTCATTATTATAAGTACCCTCTTTATCAAAACAACAATAAGCTGCAGGAGGCTCAATAAGACTTCCAGAGTGAGAGGAAATGAAGGAGATTCAGGCGGCAACCTTCCACTCACTTTCCTAGGAGTAAGACCTATAGAACTCAGTGGGACTTAATCCCAGGTGTAGACATGTGTAGGATTACAATGTCAAATTTTCAAGAAGCAAGTGCAGCATTGCTTTTGCTATCCATCTTTCAAACGTTTTTACATACCTGTTTTTAATCAACAATTTTAAGGTTCTATTTTATATTTTGTAATATTTTTATATTTTGTTATATTTTGCTCATCTGTAGGGAGCTAGATATGATCTCAAGAAACCTACCAGAGCCTCAACAATTATATCCTTGTCCAAAAGGCATGTGCTCTGTGTGTGTGTTCATGTAAATTACATAATTCACTCACGTGCCTGTGTCCATCCTCCCTTAACTCTGTGTCTGTATGCTTTTCAGCTGTTTTTTAACTGTTGTGCGTAAAAGGGGGGGGGTCTTAAACTTTTATTTGGGGAGGTGGGGAGTCTCTTCCAGACCTATTCTACCTTTCACATATATCCAACAATCCCTGAATTAGCATCCAGATGTCCTTGCACAAAGTCCAGCATGGTCCGTAGTCAGGAATTGTGGGATTTGTAGTTCGGCATCATTTGGAAAGCAGCAGGCTCCGTACCCTTGGCATGGAGGAAGTTCTCCTTAACCACCTTCTCTGCCCCTGAAGGGAGCTGCAGTTCTCACAAATTCCCCATTCTTTTACCACACCATGCATGACAGAGACGAGACTGGAGAGTAAGCTATCTTATACCAAGTCACACCAATGGTCCATGTAGTTAGGTAATGTCTCTCCCAGCTCTACCTGGAGATGCTGGGGATCGAACCCATAACCTCCTACATCACTGAGCCACGGCTGATATATTATGGGCAATTGGTCTTCTATGGGCTTTTCCACACTGACCTTTCCACTGCTCTTTCCATGCACAGCAGAGTATTAAAACTCTGTGTCCAAGTGCCCCCCTTTTTTTGCTCCAGAGCATTCCCTACAAAACCCCAATCTTTATAAGCAAACAACAATCTCTGGAAAAGCAGAATCACCCTTTGCTCCAATTGAGCACTAAAGAGTAGTTTTTTTGCAGGGGAAGCTCCAGGGCAAAGAGTGCTCAGATACAAGAATTTTAAAGTGCAAGCCTGTGTCTGGAAAGAGTAGGGTAAAAACTAAGTACAGTATGGATAAATCCTGTGTTAGTTTGTTTGACTTCTTCCTTCTTGGCCCTCAAAACTATTACGAAGCCAAGCATTCTAGGGAGTCAGTTGCCTAGGGAAGTCTTAGGCATGGCACAGAGCAAGCTTTGTCATCTTTGTTTCTGAGGCTAAGGTTTCATATAATCTTCCCTCATCCTCAAGGACCTTTTTTGTTTGCCTCAGCAGCTCAAATTTACTTAAGAGATAAGGCTGTTTTCTTACCTGCTGGGGTGTGCGTTTTCCAGAAGTCAAAAAGAAGGACCACTTTGTCCGAGAAATAGAAAAACATCTGTAGAGGATGGATGGGAAGGAGGAAGAATTAACAAAGAGGAAACACTGGCAAGGTTTCTGGGGCTAGCTATGGACCAAGGGTGGGTGAATCTGCCAATCTCAGTTTCTCCTCTTTCCAATTCAATCCACTAATTTCTCCTTTACCTCCAGAATTACGGGTCAATGAATCTGTCAATTTCAGTTTCTCACTTATCCGGTCGTAATTTCATTTCTCCACAATTCCACGTCAGCGTGCAATTCTTTTTTAAGTGCTCGTGATAATTCACCAACATGCTAGTGCAAACTTCTCCTGACACACTTTGTTTTGCATATTATCTTCACACACACACACACACACACACACACATTTATGCACAATTTACCCTAGTATATGTAAAGTAGCCCCAATAGGTTCCTGGTTGATAGGCCAGTTTAATAAGCCAGAGCCCCAAATCTAATTACCTAAATCCAGGGCAGGCTTATGCAAGATCTTGAACAGCCTCCACTAATCTGGTGCCCTGCCAACATCCCATCAGCCCAGGCAAGCATGACCGTTCATTGCTGGGACAGTTGGAGGTGTAGTTGAACAGATCTGGAAGGCACCAGGTTGACGCAAATTGATCCACTGGGACTGGTAGGGCAGAAAGCAAGGAGCCCAAGAGCAGGTAGTGCCAGGGCCAATGAGAGGTGGTGCCCACTAATTCTAGTGCTTCCCCCACCCTCCTCCTTTCTGAGTCCTACAAGGGCAACACCAGGACCAAAAGTACATGACAGAGGAACAGTGTGTAAGTTCTCCTGTCCCATTTTCTGATCTTCTTTTCACACTTCAGTAGTACCTGTTGTGTTACCGGGGGGCAGGGGGTGGTGTTGACTGATACACCAGCATGCCATGTTAAATTTAATTCACACCAGCGGGCACAGTGCAGCACAACATCTAACATCATTGGACAGTGTTGCCACACCCCAACTTTTCCCCTGTGAAAATGGCAGGAAAGAACTGCATGCCAGGTTGCTGCCCCAAATTTTGTCACTTCCCTCTACAGCACATGCATAAACCCCTGTCTTGACCGCTGGACCCAATCTTGGTCTCAGCTGCACCATTTGCCGGATCCTGTCTTTCCATGCAGGGGAAGCCCCTCACTCACTGAGGGTTTGAGACCCAGCAGCTACCCTCGCCTGGTTTACCCGGCCAAGGGAAGCCATCCCCAAGGTGTGCCCACTCTTGCATGCTGGAAGCTTCCACCAGAGGTACTGCCCCTCCCCTAACACCCCATACACCCCAGAAGTGTCCCCTCTATATACATAGAACGTGTGATAAGGGCTTGCATCCTATATTTATTGAGAGTATTTGCACCCTGCTGTTCTGCCAGAAAGGCTCCCAGAGCAGCTTACACACAATCAAAACAAGGCAGTTCTTACCCACAAGGCTTACACCCACAAGGGAAAAGGGAAGGGAAGGAAGAGGAAAAACAAAACTCAGGCGCAAGTTTCTAAATTGTTGTTCCTATATTGACCAAGAGGGGCAGGAGGTGCCTGGTGGAGCGGGGCCTCTGACAAGGTTGATGAAATGAGCCCTGCTTCCCATCGCTCCTGGTCTGGTGGAATGGCAGCTGAGGTGAGAGGACTTGATGGAGTGACGTCTGCTTCCCAGCTCTCCCATGGCTCTATAGTCATTCACTATTTTACTCTACTGAGGTGTGGCTGGTACTGATAGGAGCTAGAGCTAAATACGTTTTAGGGTTAGGAGCTTGGTGGAATAATAATAATAATAATAATAATAATAATAATAATAATAATAATAATTTATTGTTACCCCACCCATCTGGCTGGGTCTCCCTAGCCACTCTGGGCGGCTTCCAACGAAGATTAAAAATACATTAAAATGTCACACATTAAAAACTTCCCTGAACAGGGCTGCCTTCAGATGTCTTCCAAATGTCAGGTAGTTGTTTATCTCTTTGACATCTGATGGGACGGCGTTCCACAGGGCGGGTGCCACTACCGAGAAGGCCCTCTGCCTGGTTCCCTGTAGCTTGGCTTCTCGCAGAGAAGGAACCACCAGAAGGCCCTCAGCACTGGACCACAGTGTCTGGGTAGAACGATGTGGGTGGAGATGCTCCTTCAGGTATACTGGGCCAAGGCCGTTTAGGGTTTTAAAGGTCAGCACCAACACTTTGAATTGTGCTCGGAAATGTACTGGGAGCCAATGTAGGCTCTGAACCCAGAAGCTCCTAGTTTGATCCCTGGAACCTCCAGATGACCAGTCAGTCACAGACCTTGTGTGTGTGTGTCTGTCTCTCTCTGTGTATATGTAATTTACCACAGGTGTCAGGGCGACTCAACCAGTAACATAGGCTATATTTGACAACCTGTACCACTGGTTTGATTCTGTACAAGGAAGTTCTTTATCATGTGCCATTTTCATCATCCCAACCTATGATTATCTGTCATCTTATTCCAACTAATTGTTGGGTCTCTGTTTTGCTTATTAATGTGGAAGCTCTATTACGGTATGGTCAAAAACAGGGTCAGCGTCTTTGCAAATCCCTCATTCACAGGGTCAGTGAATTCCGGGCAGCACCAGTTTCTTGGTGCCAAATTCCACACCTGTGTCGGATCTTTGAACAGAAATTGTTCACTTCAAGTTGAATCTCTCTTGAAACATGCAAAACTGAGAATGTGAGAGGAGAACCAAAACTGTATTATGCAAAAGCTGGTTTCCTAAGAGGCAGATTCTCAGGGTCAGTTGCAAAAGCCTGTGGAGTGGATGGCGTATTTGGGTCCCATCCCTGCTCAAGTTCTGGAGAGCCACTGCCAGCCAGAGAAGAAAATGGGTTAGATCAGTGTTTTTCAGCCTTAGGTCTCCAGATGTCTCTGGACTCCAGCTCCCATAACCCTTGACCACTGAGCTTGCTGGCAGGGGGTAGATGGGGTCCAAAAACATTTATAATAATAATAATTTATTATTTCTACTCCACCCATCTGGCTGGATTTAGAGGGCCACAGGCTCCCCACCCTTGCATAATTTATTATTATCAATAACTAGGATTGTGTTCTATCACATTCTTCCTCCCATTGGAGTCCAGGGCAGTTCACATCATTAAAAAAGTATATTCACAATAATTAAAGCATTCAAAACTACATCTCTTAAAAGCCACTTTGAGGCAATTTCTCAGTAAGTGGGATGTAATTTTTTAATTAAATTGAAATAAACCTAATCTTCTTTGCATAAGGAAGGTCCCAGGCTCAAACACTGTCTTCTCCAGGTAGCACTGGAAAAACTCCTGTCTGAAACCCAAGGGTGTTGCTACTTGCCAGTGTCAACAATACTGAGATTTTTAATGCTCAACCTAAAGCAACCTAAGTTGAACATATACCGTCTGCCAAAGAAACTCCAATGGGAGTTGAGGAAATTCACACAAGACTGGGCATGTCTAGGTGTGAGGTCGCAATTATTGGGTTGCTGTGAATGAAAGAGATGGAGGCGGAAACAGAACCAGGACTGATTCTTTCATTGCAAAAGAGCTTGGGAAGAAAGGCTGTGGTTTCTAATCAGTGGGATAATCGGGTAAACACTTCTAGCAGATCACATGAAGGGAGAACAGAGAACTGGAGAATTTCCTATGTTTCACTAATTCCTGAGGAACATAGGAAGCTGCCAGACCACTGCTCTACCTAGTTCAGTATTGTCCACAGCAGTGTTTACCAACCTTGGGTCTCCAGTTGTTTTTGGACTACAATTCCCATCATACCTGACCACTGGTCTTGCTAGCTAAGGATGACAGGTGTTGTAGTCCAATAACAGCTTGGGACTCAAGGTTGAGGAACACTAGACTACACTGACCGGCAGTGATTCTCCAGGCTTTCAAGGCTGGAAGTCTCTCCCAGACCTGCCTGGAGACACTCGGAATTGAACTAAGACTCATTCTGCATGAGAATCAGATCTACGTTCTCTTCTGGTCAGTGAGGGGTATGGCCTGAACAAAGAAGCCACAGCTGAGGAAGGAGTATGGCCTAGGGTGAGTTCCAAAGGTCCAATAAAGAACACTGGAGGGAGACACTTGGCCCTTGGGGCTGTTTTCTCCCTTCCCTGGCATATTTACAGGGATACACAAAGTCTTGTTTGCCCTGTGATTCTCAGATGAAGGTGGTATAGAAATTTAATTAATAATAATAATGATAATAAATTAGTCAGGCTTGTCAACTGAATCAGATTTCTCCATCCATCCCTAAAATGAATGCAGTGGGACTTCTCATAAAATAAGAATAGCACTCTCTCACATTGAAATCAAGGGGACTTAAAAGGACTTTGCTTTGACTGGCTTGTACTCATAGTATTTACGCTGGGGACTACAATAAACATCAGAGTCCTCTTCCATAGGAAGTTGCATCAGCCTGTTACAGCAAATGCAAAAGAATGAGACTGGCCTATTGAGACCTACTTCCAAGTATGCATGCACAGGATCGCTCTACTAAGGTGGGACAGTTTGGCACATACTCAAGTAGGACTTCCTGAGTAAACAGGCAGGTAGTCAGGATGCGGAAGCAGTACTGTCTAACCTACTTTCAAGGAACCAAAGAACAGCTTCTGGTTATACTGGGAAAGCCCACTGAGGAAGCATGACTCATATCACCCCACTGCCTTTTTCATGCACACACATGTTGCATTATTTTAATTAGCAAAATACTTATTTAAAAGCCATTAGAGAAAATGGGAAGGGGGATGGGATTGCAACAAGAAAATTCAGAGCCTTGTCAAGTTACATCAGATTCACCTCCAAACCCAGTAGTGGCTGGTGCCCTCTGGGAGACAAATTTTCTTCAATTGCTGGCCTTCGGAATGACTAGGAAATACCTGGATGCAGTGGTGATTGGTGCCCATTGAGGCAGATGGTGCCATAGTCAACGAGAGGCAGAGACAACTCATTCTAGTTTGGCCCCCGCCCTCCTCCCCATTGAGTTCTACAAGGGCAACACTGAAACCAAGGAGGAAGCTGACTGGCAGTTCCACTCCCTGGACTGACTGTAAGTAGGAAGGCAGGGAGTAGAAAGGCTGGCTGAGATTGGTGGAACGGGGCTCTATTTATCCCAATGGACCAGCCCCCACTCTCCAGCTCTCTCTTGTCCTCCGCTTGCCTTTTGGGAAGACAATAGGATTGGCCTGGATTGAAACTCAGGTTGCAAATCCACACACACCAGTCCAAGGGCTATTTCACATTGGCGAAGGCTCTTCTGTTCCTGCTGCCCATTTACCTGGTGGTAGTCCAGTTTAGGCTGGTCCAGTTGGGCACTGCCCCATCAACCCCAACTGCTCCTGCCTGTCTGCCCTTTTACTTGCAACCAGTTCAGGGGGTGGCCCTGCCTGCCAGCTTGAGACTAAGCTGGCAGGCAGGGCCACCCCCTGAACTGGTTGCAAGTAAAAGGGCAAGTGTAGCCCTTGTAGAAGCCAGAAGGGAGAAGGATGGGCAGGGGACTAGACCAGAATTAGTTGGCTCTGCCTCTCATTGGTTCTGGCTCCACTGGTCTGAATGAGCACCAGCAGTTGCCTTTCTTGTGCTGACTCTGAAGCAGGAAACCCATCTATCTGGACAGGGGGTTATGGGGGTGGGGGAGGAATGAAAGTCTGTGCGGGGGCATTTTACACCCATAGCCATACCAATTAGCTCTCAGGCACAATTTAGCAAGGACCTTTCAAACCCTAACTTGGGGCCAAGATACTTGGGGGGTCACCTCCTCCTGTACTATCCTGTCCTCTCCCAAAGATCAGGAGGAGATAAGTGTCAGACCTAGGACAGAGGCATGGCTGGTGGCAACAAAGGTGGCACTGTAAGGGAGGATTTTGGGGCAGATGCCAGCAGCCCCACTCAGCAACACAAGTAGGAGAGCATCAGGGCTCTCTCATTACACTCTGAAGTAAGTGAAATAATACACATCTCCATCTAAAGAGGGTCACCCTTGTAAAACCATGAAGTCCAGAGTCTGAAATTGCCTAACTACACCACTTCCAGACATTTTTAGGGAGGGATTCTATAGCATAGCAGCAAATTCTGGGTGCACAATTCAGGGTGATTACGCAAGCCTGTGCAACAACCAATCCAGCCCACCCCACCCCAATCATTTTCATAGTCTTCTATATACTATGAAGTTACGAGTCTTCTGAGCTGTCTGCACGGTGCATAGCCACTGGGAGAGCTGGACCAAAATTTTCTTTATACCGTAAATCTAAAGTTTGTATTCATGCACTCTGGACCCAAGATATATCTCCCCAACCCAACTCAAGGATTAAGTGTCTGTAAGGCAAGGGAATGGGACGCGAGTGGTGCTGTGGGTTAAACCACAGAGCCTAGGACTTGCCGATCAGAAGGTCGGCGGTTCGAATCCCTGCGACGGGGTGAGCTCCTGTTGCTCTGTTCCAGCTCCTGCCAACCTAGCAGTTTGAAAGTACGTCAAAGTGCAAGTAGATAAATAGGTACCGCTCTGGCGGGAAGGTAAACGGCGTTTCCGTGCGCTGCTCAGAAGCGGCTTAGTCATGCTGGCCACATGACCCGGAAGCTGTACGCCGGCTCCCTCGGCCAATAAAGTGAGATGAGCGCCGCAACCCCAGAGTCGGCCACGACTGGACATAATGATCAGGGGCATAGGCGCCGACTCCATGGGGCTTGAGGGGGCTCGAGCCCCCTCAAAAAAATTAATCTCGGGCGCCGGGGGCGGGGGCTCCTGCCTCGCTGCTTCGCAGCACCACCGCCACTGCCAAGGCACTGCCGGGGGGAATTTCCTTCCTCCTGGCGGTTTCAGCCCCCGCGAGAACAGGGGAATCCCGACTGGCCACACCTCCCAGCCAGCCAAATCGGCTGGCTGGGGGGGGCGTGGCTTGCCCTATTAGGGCCGGAGCCACTTTTATTTGCATATTCATGAGCTATTTATTATTCATGAGCCTTTCCCGGGCCCCCCCAATATTTTGTATAAGTCCGCGTGCCCTGATCAGGGGTCCCTTTACCTTTACCTTTTTAAGGCAAGGGAATAACTGCAGCTCAATGGTACAGCATCTGCTTAGATTTACAGGGTCAGCCAACTTTTTCAGCAGGGGGCTGGTCCACTGTCCCTCAGACCTTGTGGGGAGCCAGACTATATTTATTTTTAGGAGGGGGATGAACAAATTCCTATGCCCCACAAATAACCCAGAGATGAATTTTAAATAAAAGGGACTCATTCTACTCATGCAAAAACACGCTGATTCCCGGATCGTCCGCAGGTTTGGATTGAGAAGGCGATTGGGCTGCATCTGGCCCCCGGGCCTTAGGTTGCCTACCCATGGCTTAGATTAGGTCCCAGATCCAGTCCCTGCCATCTCCAGGTAGGAATGGGAACAGTACCCTGACGAGCAGCTGCCAGTCAGTGTGTGTAAACAATAGTGAGCTAGATGAGCAATGGTTTGACTCTGTGTGAGGCAGCTTCCGATGTAACTCGCCAGACAGTAAGAGATGTACATCAAGTTCTCTTTAAAAGGAAAGTCATCCCAAAATCTCTCTCTCCACCACCACCCGCCCCCAATTAGGGACAAAATAAGGCTCATTGTTTTACAAAGAACACAACAAAACACTAGTCTGTTCCTGGTAAACAGGCAACAGATGGAGACGCTGACTCGCCCAGCGTGCAAATTAAGATCGCGATCGAAATTTCATTACGACGCTTTTAAAGAGCTAAATAAAGGCTACTTTCTGGGCACAGTTACGTTATAGTAAAGTAGTTGATTGTCCGGCGTTTGTTTATAAAAATTGGATCAGCATCGATCTCAGCACGAATGATAGCAACACGAGCCGGGGAGAATTTGTCCACAAACTTTTGCTTTTTTTAAAAAAAAAAAAAACAAGCTCCGCATTTTTAATTTGCTTCCAATTAAATAAGTAAATTAAATAGACACCATCTACAATTTTGAAATAGACTTGCCTGCATCATCTTGCTGCAGTATTTTCTTCACCTCTTCGTTTTTTCCTCCGGCAGAAGCAGCAGGCGAGTTGCCGTCTGCGCGCAATTAAGTTCGTTCCACTCGATCAGGTTCCGCCTAGATTCAATGCCTCGGTAAAAGATAATGAATTTAGTGAGGAGTCACGTGGGCGAGGGCGCACAGCATCGTGGGAATTGTAGTCTATTCGGGGTTTACTTATTTCCTCTCCCGTCTTCCTCCCCAGCCCAGAATAAATACTATTTTACGATTTAGACAAGCGGCACATTCAAACCTTGATTGACTGCATGCATCGCTTTGTGCTTACTCTAGAGTAAATAGAGAGTAGGAGTTAAGATCACACCCATATTTAAGTAGCTCTTCAGGGCGATTCGAAAAAAGATTGCAATAATACTGAGAATAATAAATGTAAATCTAGGGGGGGGAGGTCAGGTAGTCCTAAGGCTCTTTGCAACGATACCGTTTACCTCGGTGCATAGTTGTGGTTCCCTATTTTTAAAGGAGGGAGGGAGGGAGGGAGAGATTGGACACTTTCAAACTACACCTCCCAGAATGCTTTGCTCGGCAAGCCCGGATGCAACATCTGTAACAGCTGGTAGGGACGCTCAGTGAAGCACTTCTATTCCTGCAATCGAAGAGGGCCTCCCTGCGATTATCTTATTCTGCTAGGCATAATATTAGTTCTATATTTATTTTATCTTATCATTTATAAGCCGCCTTTTAGGCTAACTACCGTGACAAGGCTCCATACATGCACCCCTCGAATAACAAACATTTCAGTATCATCCTATTATACCATCTTAAGCATAATCAAAATCAAATACCAGAAACAAAACCACCATACTAATCAATCTACCGTTCTATTTACAACCAGTAATCTTTTAAATCTTTATAGCCAATTAAAACAAAAAAAACTACAGGATCTCACCAACTTTTTTTTTATTTAAAAAGGATGAGTCTTAAGCACATAAGACAAGCATGTTGGATCTGGTCAGTGACCCATAGTCCAGCATCCTGTTCAGTGGCCGAACAGATGAAAAAGACTCAGTTTCTCTCTCTCTCTCACACACACACACACACACCATTATCTTGATGTCTGCCCTCTGGTTCTCACCATATATGTAAGCTTAACCACACATACCTTGTTCCAGATTTTAGTTATCCATTCTCTCAAGAATGGTGTTCTTACCTCCTCCCCAATAAGGCAATAATAATTCTGGCACAAGGGTGCCAACTTGAATAAAATATTGTGGGGGCCCAGGTAAGCCCCTCCCTGCATAATCAATCACATGACACATTGCACACATACCATCTGAATGGGAATGCCCATCAACTTTGTGGGGGCCTGGTGCCCACAAGTTTTTTATTGTGTGTGCCGAAGCCCTCATGACCCCTAGGAGTTGGCTCCTAGGTTCTGGCAGCAGTTAATAGATGTTGATTAATTCCCTGTCCTCTGTTAGTACAATTTTCTTTAACATATCCAAAGAGGAGAATTAAAGGGTCCCTGGGTAAAGTATAACCATTTATCACAGTACATTCTTTGTTTTCCATCACTATACTTTCCCAGAATTTTCTGGCATGAACCCCAAATATCTCAGCATTTGCAGCTTTAGACTTCCAGCAGGTACCACCGGCAGTTGGGTATATTAGGCTAAGACATTAGGTTCCTGCCATTGGTTAATTCAGCAGCCGCCTCATCTCCTGACCCTCTCTGTCTCTCTGCCGCTTAGATTCATTCCTCTGCAAGAGGATACAGATGCAGCAGGCCCCTTGCAGCTTTGAGGCTCAGTCTTTGCAGCAGACTGCAGCTGAAACCACCTGGTGATGCCTTTAGAAAAGGGAGATGGAAGAAAACACGGGAGGGTTCTGCATTTTTCCTTGGCAGCCAGAAGCAGGTTGTTTGGGAGCAATGATTTTAAAATTATTTTAAAAGCAGATTTTCCAGCAGATCGAACTCTGCATCAGACTCCACACACCAAAAAAGGAAAAGCCAAACAAATACAAAATGTGCCCTGCTCCTTCCTTACACCCTGAATCCGTGGTGGGTTTCTCCATAGGGAGCTTGTAGTACACAGTGGCGTAGCGTGGGGGGTGCAGGGGGGGGCCAGCCACACCGGACGCAACATCTGGGGGTTAGGGTTAGGGGGCGCAAATTCACGGGTTAGGGGGCGCAAATCCACGGGTTAGGGGGTGCAAATTACTTGCCTTGCCCCGGGTGCTGACAACCCATGCTACGCCACTGGTAGTACACCAGGGATTCATCCATCTATCCGTCTTAGTTCAATAACAGGTGCAAAACCAGGAGTATTTTAGGAGTGTTTACTTCAATGTGATGAAGCGTTACCTGACCAAAGGGGAAGAAGAGGAGGTTCCAGCTAGAAAGAAGAAAGCGATTTAATATGGTCTGGGGAGTTTAAGAATGGAAGAAAACTGAGCACATTCTCCCTTTACATAATTTGTGTGTACACTCTTGTCTCTGCAATAGCCTGTAGTTTGTAGTTAAAGTGCTTAATAAATGCTTACACCTAATGTGTTTGATTTTCATCCACCCCAATTTTTCAAACCACACATCAGCTTTCCAACTTCGTGATGGCCCCACTCCAGTCCACATTTTGTATCCAACTGCACAATAAACAAACAAACGATTCACACTTTTTTCTGTGTATAAAAGAGTTGGAAGGAAAGGATAATCTATTCCAACCCGCTGCAATGCAGGAATTTTTTTGCTCAACAGGGGTTTGAACAACCATGAGATAAAGTCCCATAATCTACCAACCAAGTTATTCTTTGGGGCCTCAGCTGAGCTGTGTTTGCAGATTGTCAGTCATGGGCAACCCTTTGGTAGGGGAAGAGTAAGGGGCTAATATAGAACTCTAATCAGTGCTAGGAATGGGAGACCTCTTGGGCTGGGACTGCTCCTTTACGTTTCATTTTAATACACGAAGGTCTGTACTTGTGTCCAGAGATGTCTGTGGCTTTTGTAAGGACAGATTGCTTTCAGCATGATACATTTTCTTCCACTCTGGGCAGATCCACACCATGCATTTAAAGCACACACAACACACATCCCTTGTGTGAAGCCACTACCCTGATAAAATGCCAATTGCTTGATTCCTCATCAGATTTTACACAGGTTTAAATTTTGAATATGTATTGTTACATGCCACCCCTGAATGGTGAGAGACTCTGGGAGTACCAAGTGCCCTGTTTCCTTAGAATGAAGGACAACGGAGACTGGTGTCTTTAGGATATATGGGTTTTTTAATACATATATAGAACCTGAACACAGTCCCTCCAAAGTGTCCCTATATGCCAGGGTCCTCCCTGAATTAGAGAAGCTGTCCCAGTTTCTGATTTGACCCCGGAATGTTTCACTTTTCCTTAGGATGTCCCTATTTTCATTGGATAAATTTTGATTGGTATGGAGTTATCCGACCCCTGAGCCATCAGAAGGCAATCCTGTATAGGGAAGGTTTTTAATGTTTAATATTTTATTGTGTTTTTATATTTGCTGGAAGCTGCCCAGAGTGGCTGGGACAACCCAGTAAGATGTTTGGGATATAAATATTAAAATTATCGTTATGGAATGGGACGTCACTATTTCCATCAGAGAAATGTTGAAGGGTTTGTGAACAGAGAATGGGAAAATATCTATAACGAACTGAAAAAGATGTTTAGATTTTCATTTGGAAAAAACCCAGAATCCTTTCTCCTAGGCATCATGTCAGAGGAAATAAAAAGATTGGTCAGGCCAATATTTATGTATGCAACTATGGTGGCAAGGTTATTGATTGTAAAAATGGGAAAGGCAGCAGCGTCCCAACTAAAACAGACTGGTTATCTAAAATGATAGAATACTTCCATATTGCTGAACTAACAGGGAGGATGAGGAGATATGGTACAAAAAGTGAATAAAGAGTGGGCTATCTTTATCAAAATTTATGTGGGAAAAGTAGAATTTCTGACAGATATTGAGTGAATCCAGAAAATGATTAGAGTGAAAGGAGAGTAAAGTTAAGATAGAAGAAAAGATTAAAGAAATAATGAAATGTGTTTAAGCTAATTGGAAAAATAAAGTAGCGTAACAAGAACAGCTAGAAGTCAAGTCACTTGGTGGGTGTTCGTGTGGGGTAGGTGTGTAGGTATGTTGGTATGTACTGTATAGGTAAGTATTATATAGAGTAATGGAGCTATGTTTTATGTTATGAAAATAAGGTAGTGTGTTATGTACGTGTATTGTGTAATTGTGTAAATGTATGTGTTTTATATGTTAATAAAATTTAATTTTAAAAAAGAGAGAATGGAGGGATTCACAGCATTAGCACTGCAACAGATCTTGCTTTCCCTTAGGTTTCCATAAAAGCCCCAAAGATATGTAAAAGGGGGCTTAACAGGCTTGGCTAAGACTGTTAACAAAGAGTCTAGTTTGACCACTTCTTGTAGACTCCCATCTTACATACATCAAGTCACAGGATTGGTGGTACCCAAATCTATCACCCAAACCAACTTCCCAATCATATTAGTATTTGTTTCTGTTGATTTATTGGTTTATTAATAGTCTGTATAATATATTCTGTTTTTTAAATATTTGATGTTTTATTATGTTTTTATGTATGCTGTAAGCCGCCCAGTGTGTTTGGGGAAACCCAGTCAGATGAGTGGGATATAAATATAAATATAAATACAACAACAACAGATTTATGTAGTGTACGTTAATAGCTATTTACTTCCAGGCTATAGTTATGGGATAGCCATTAGACTTCCTTCCCACATGCTCCTTTCTCTTAGGTAAATAAAAGCTTGAAAATCATATATTGGAAGCACATTCTCTATGAACAAAGACTGTTCAGATTGAGCAAAAAGGAAGATGGGAGTTAGTTTATAAGACTTCTCCTTCCACTCATAATAACTAGAAACCCTGGCCACCCAATGAAATAGATTGGCAGGCAATTGAGGACAGACAAGGGGCAGAAATTATTTATCAGACAAAGTGAAACAAAACAAAACACCCTGTTATCATTTGTTTACCATATTCACTGCTGTAGAATCTGGGAATGAACACTAGATGGCTTCCAAATGGGATTTTGAGAAATTAATGGTGGGCAGAGTCTTTTTCCAATCAGGTGGTGATTAACACAAGGGGCTGTTTGTTTTAATGGAGAACACAAATCCCTCTGTTTATGAGCAAACAAGAAACATCAGCATTGTAAGTACAAGAAAAAGCAGAGCCAGCTGTAGGTTTTACGGACCTTGTGGCAAACTGCGCCTCTGACATCAGTAGGTGATGGGGTTGCTAGGTGGTAGGGGATGAGCTGGCCAGCAGCAGTGTGAAATAAGGTGGGCAGGGCAGGGCAGGTGTAAGCTAATTGGCTTTTTGTTGGGAATTGATCTGGGCAGTTAAGACCCAATCTCGAAGGCTGCTGACCAGCTAGAGATAGCCAAGCACTGGACGTACT